TAAATCACTCACCATTCATTTCCAACCGTTAGATGAGAGCCTCAGATCGTGCGGTTCAAGGTGGCGCTGTGCTTCTTCAGTAGAAACCCTAATGGTTTAGTTTTGCAATTGGGCCTGTCTGGTCCAGCTTGTTTTAAGTTGATGTAGGCCTGTACCATAATGATATATTAGTGCATTTTAATTATTATTTATTTAATTACTTAATATAATTACTTATAACAACATTAATAATAATAAATTCGAATTAACTTCGAATAAGACCCCGGACAAATCGAGTATCTACATGGGTATCAATCACATTTGCTAAGAAAGTTGTACAACCTTTTTCCATCATTTTCGTTGTTGTCATTGATGATATCACATTGGGCAAAGATTTTGCTTTTTTACCAATTACTATTATCTTGGTACCCTCTACATCCTTTATAAATAATCGCTTCATGCGATAATCTACCCAACCATAATGCCGAGAAAACCAATCCATGCCCAATATAATCTCAAACTCGTTAAACGGTAACTCCAAAAGATTTACCAAGAATACAAACCCTTGAATCTATATCAGACAATTTCTGTTAATCTGTGTAACTCTAGCACTATAACCCAGTGGATTTACAGCTATTATCTCACTATTAATGGGTTCTAGTTGAATATTTTTATTTTTAACTATTTTGAGTTAATATTTGAATGTAGAACCTGGCTCAACCAAAACCAAAACATGCTCATTATAAAGATAGAAAGTGCCTACTATGATTTATAGGTCATCACGATCCTCATTGGTTTTGATATTATAAATTCTGGCTGGAGCTCGGACATCAAACTGGAGGTTGTATCTGATTATCCCCTCCCTCTACCTCTACCTTAACCACCTCTCTGAGGCATTGCCACTGATCTCTCTATCTGAACAGATCTCTTTCATATCATCGGGCAGTCTCTAATATAATGACCAGGGTCTCCACATCGGAAATAAACTCCTGATCCTGCTCTACATTCACCAGAATGATCATTTCCATAATGTGTACATAATGAGTGTTGTCCTTGAGACTGAGTTGATCTACTAGCTCCTGTAGTCATTGTCTGTGTTTGTCACCCTTTTACGTTAGCCTCAAATCATCTACAACTAGAAGTACCAACTTATGATTTAATCTGGTACTGATATACTGAACCTCGACCTCTTTTTAGATTGAAATAAAGATAATCCTCCTGATCTCTTTGACTACCTCCTCTGATCAAACATAACTCTTTCTTCTTGTGCCATTTCCAGATCCTTAGCTTTACTTACCACTTCTTGAAAGGTGTTCAAATTGGCAGTCAACAACAGTTCCCTTAATCCGGGGCAAAAACCTCGAATAAATTTCTGACATACATCTCTCTCTGTGGGGACCATCTCCGAAGCATATCAGGTGAGCTTATTAAACTCACACTTATAATTATAAACAGATATGTTCCCCTGGATCAGATTGAAAATGTCTTGCTTCATATTAATAATAAACTACTTTTCAATATATTTCTTCTGGAAAGCCTCCAAGAAAAACTGCCAAAAAATATGATCTGAAGGGACACGTGTCGTAATATTTGTTCACCAAATCCTGGCATGTCCTCTCAACAATGAAGCCACCCCTTCCAATTATTCTTCATCAGAACAATGAATATTGTCTAACATAATCTTCATATCATTCAACCATATATTGGCCACAACTGGGCCATATTTGTTTCACCTTTAAATTCAGAAGCTCTCATACTCTTTAATTCTTTTGGAATTGACACTCTCGAAGCTGGAAGAGTAGGAGGTGGAGGTGGAGACGGAGGAAGGGGAGCTGCTGCAGTTGGCTAATATCTTTCCAATATAGCCTCAAGAGCTTACAAGAAATTCCCCTGATCAAGAGTGGCATTCCCTGTTGTGCTTGTGCTCCCTGCTGATGAGGTCCATGCTCATTCTCATTACTACTTCCATTATCGGTTCCCTCAGGAACCTCCTATTCGGTAGCTCTTCTACTGCCCTCCACATTCAAAATCTAACCACAAACACATAAAATTGCGTTAGTAAGGAGCAACATCCTAAATAAAATCATCAGACCATACCAGATCAGTAATTTTGACATCCTAGTGACATGTACATATTTCTGATATAAAATAGGCTCGGTTTAGGCCAAGAATCGGCTAAACCTGCAGCTCTAGTACCAATAAATTAACACACTTAAACCATATACATCTCGATGTACAAGTCAAAGATGTCACATCAACTTAAAAACATTCACTCAACTGAAACTTGCCTAAAATTTTGTTTCATTTTGAAACAATTCTATTTTAACTTTAAAATCTATTTTAAGAATATCTCAACTTATAAATAATTTAATTGTCACAGGAAAATAAGTCCATTTGTTAATCAATATTTTTTTACCAAACCATGTCTTTTCGTAAAATCTTTTAAAAACATAATAATATAATATTTCTTTTCATGCATAAATACTGATAAAACTAAACTAAGTAAAATAAACTAAAATAGTTCTAGTTTACTACTACAGACTATTTAAAATAAATACGATAAATAGAAACTACTAAAATAATTATACATGCCATTAAAAGTCAAAAGTAACATCATAGATGTCTTACTAATACTGATGATATGTGTGTCTTTCCAAAAAGATGCTTCGGTTGCTCCTTACTGCTCGTATTTATCCTTATTAGAACCTATGCATGAAAAACATCACGTGCTAAGTATAACTTAGTGAGGCAGTAATAATCTAAGGTGAGAAAAATCTGAAAATATCATAAACATAAATAAAATAATTTGAATTAAACATTAAACTGGCAAACTAACTTATCCAAGTTGATTTCTTCACTAAGACCTGAAATTTCTTTTAAGTCATGAACTCATGAATATTCTGATAAACAATATTTGATAAAATAAGCATATCATGCTTTCTGTCAATTGGAAATCATTCACAACTTGCATATTCATTTCATACCCTAATGCATATTTATGAGAACATAAGATACGTGAGTAAGGTGTGCACTATGCATAACACGGTGCAAATCGTAACCGATACTGAGATATGATGCACTTCAGTACAATCATAACCTGAACACCAACGGTGCTGGACATTGGTACATGAATGTACCAAAAGATGATATGATAACTGATAACATTGATACAAGAATGTATCAAAGCTGATAATGGATAAATACTCAACTAATGGCATGCCAAGTATACCAATAATTCTCATTATACATACAATGAGCTCATGTATCATAATTAAATCCATAATCAAAATATCATGCTTGGGCAGTTCATACCCTAAATCACTCATAAAACTGACATAAAATATTATAAAAATATTCTTTATAAACTTTATAAATCATACTGTAAATTTGAAATGAGAATGACTTATCGCAAGTCGTCTTCGATCGTAATAATTAAATAAATAAACTGCACTCACCTTTGCCTCATTATAGATTCCTTTATGCGATATTTCTAATCACGTGTTTTTCTTTTCCTTTCGAATAGTCCCGACTGCTAGATTTAACGTGGTCTTACAATACCAAATAATAACAAAAAGTGTTCGAACTACATATTAGTATCGTACTAATATAAGCTGATTTTAACATTCAGAAATTTATAAAATAAAAATTGGAATTAAAACAATATCTCAACAACCATATATCCACTATAATTTCTAACTTCAAAAAATACTCATACAAATCCATGAATATTTATTTTCATCCATAAACCTTCATATTTTGCTAATTTACACAAATAAGCCACAAGTTGTGAATTATTTTTAGAATTCTCCTCAACCTTTTCCATTTAGTTCATAATGGTCATTCACCATTAAAATCATTGCGCATTAATTATAAAAATTCCAGCACTTTACTAAAATGCTCAAATAAATACTTCAAAAAACATTTATAATTTCAACTCAAACTTTCCTAACTTTTAATTTTCAACCACCTAACTTTATAAATTTGTAATTCAATTCCAACTCAATATTTAATTTAAAATTCAGCATACTAATAAATTTTCTAGTATTCCATAATTTAGTCAAATAATACTTCTTCATTTAAGAACTTACAAACAAGTCCCCAAAGTTTTGGGACCTTTCGAATTCCACCTCAAGGTTTACCAAATTTGCAATTTGGTTTTCAAACAACTTTCCAACCACTACTAGAAAAAACCCCTTTAATGACATGCATTGCGTGTCATCTATGGGTGCAGATGACACACAAATTCGCGTCATTGAAGCCACTGACATAAATATCAGATGACGCGCAAATGTGTGTCATAAATCTATGAAGCGCATTTATGACTCACATTTATGACGCGCATTGAGCATCATTGAAGCCCCCGTCATGAATGAAGATGACACACATTTGTGTGTCATAAATTAATGACACGCATGTATGACTTACATTGCGTGTCATTGAAGCACACGTCATTAAAAAAGATGACAGGCATTCGTGTGTCGTGATTGTATTTCATAAATTATATATATATATATATATATATATATATATATTGTAGATTGACAAATAATCAAACTAAATTACATTTAATGCCTCATAATACTAAATATATATATCATATTATATATAAGCAATCCATTTGCATACAATATATTCACATTAAGTTATCAAAAATATTGTAATCATATGTCGATACAAAATATCACGGCATAATAAAGTTCTACTAATATGCCCTCGCCATCTGGGCGTGTACACAAGAAATCATCATCAAGTTCTACTCAATGGGAGTCTTATGAAAAATCAAAAGTAGCATGGTATTCCAACATATGATCAGTTTCACCATTTGCTCCATACTTGTACATCTTATGTGGTGTGAAGCCGACAATAGACAAATTCACACCTTGTCTACTTAGCAAAAAGAACACAACTTGGAAGATTCATTGCATACTATTAAGTCTGTTAACTAGTTAAGATTTTGCAGAACTTTGATAAGTTAGAGCACTACTAAGTGCAATACAATTCTCCCAAGTTTCAATTCATACCTTCTGCATATCTGATCCAATGGAGTGCGGTAATGATCAAACAGTAGCCAAATACCATATCCAAGCTTCCAGTGCTTCTGCAACTTGTATTTCAGAACCATATTGTGTCATTGAAGCACTAGCGCTTTCTGAACCATATTATGTCATTGAAGCAGCATTATTCTCACCATCAACTTGATCATTCTCATCCTTGGAAGCATGAACTCGCTCTCTGTAAAGACGATATTCAGGAAAATTGAAATATGACACATGAATTAGACAGGCTAAGTTTGGGGGAGAAATAATGGAACTAACATGATTCCTAAAATTTTATAAAGCACACCTAGACAAAGAAGCATGATGTGTTATAAGTGGAGTACTTCTTTCACCTTTACCATAATGCTCCTCCAAATGTGCAAATTGTCATAAAGGATATTAAGCAAAAAAAGTTAAGAGCTTGAAAGGTACATGAAGTTGGTCTGATCCCCACCGCGGAGGTACTCCTGCAGCATCTGGGGATGATACTCTAATATTTGTTAGGCCATAAATTGGTTAAGCTATATGATAAATAGAAACCAGATAATACCAAAGCAACAAATGTGGAGTACCTCTCTATAAATCAGCTCTCTAACATCATCTTTTGCCAATTTCCTTCTCTCAAACTCAAATTCTAATTTCGAAATAGGTTGAGTGGATGGTTCACGATCCATATTTGCTAAACCATAAAAGTATGGATCAGCTAATGCCTGCCAGCATAGAACAACACCATTAGGAATATCAGAAGCTTGTAAGTCATGATCTAACTGTCAGATTCATCATTTGTAGTTGATTTAATGCCACTGATGAGAAGAATTATCATATCTTGATGAAATGATGCTGACAAAACATCAAATCAAAATTTGTAGCACTCTAGATCACCCATTCATGGATTTCAATTCTATAGGAAGCATATCCTTTATGTTTTCTGAATATAAAAAAATGTTAGCAAGAAACCCCATTTTTTTTGTAAATTTAAGGGTTATCTATTGTATGCATATATTGTTTCCTTTGTAGTGCTTTTGAAAGAAAAAATTAAATACTAGGAATTCTCAATCTTATTTCTTTAGCTGTGGGACGATCTTTTGGATCAAATGCAAGTAAGTGCTCAAGTAGGCGAAGAGCCCCGGGATCCACATTAGGGAACTTCTGTGAGAAAGGAACCGGTGGCTTTTTACACATGCTAATAAGGTACCTCCTTGCCTTTTCATTTCTAATCTGCCAGGTAATGATAATTAAGCTGTGAGTGATCAATATCTAATCTCTCAATTAGAATCTCAGTAACAAAGCTTGAAATCAGCGTCAGGTTGAAGTGAAAATAAATCAAGTGAAATATAAGAAACAAGATAACTAACCCTTGATATAGATTCAGGAGGGGGAGTGCCAAGCATATCGGTCATGAGATCCAATTGGTGCACCACATTTTTTCCAGGAAAAAGTGGTTTTCTTGTAAGTATCTCAGCAAATATGCATCATATACTCCACATATCAATTGCAGGAGTGTACTACAAAAGGATTAAAGTCTTAGAAATTAAAATTATAGTCTAATAAAACATACTTAATATAATTATTATACATCAAAACGAAAATAAAAGATCAGATACTACACTTCTCATGTTCAAAAGATATATAAAAATAAGTGATTAACAATAAGACACATGGAAATAATGATAGGTGCACCAATAACATTAAAAGTGGCTAAATATTCATGATAACAAATCATGATATAAAATCATATTTGAATACAGATGGAACTAATGAAAAACGCATAATATTTTTCTTTAGCATCTAGACTTTGCTAATACGATCAATTCCATGAGCTTAATTAGAAGAGATTTGATTTGAGCACTCAGAGAATAAACCTATTGATCAAAATGATTAATGACATTTATCAATTTCCAGGTATTAACTTCTTTATTCCAAATTGCAGTAACAACAATACACATTCTTAAAGCGGCAAGATAAGCTTCAAGAATTTCCTCTAGAAAATGATGTAGAAAAGAAATATTATATGGTGATTACAGAAATGGCCGACAGCCAAGTTATATATAATACATCAAACATAAATTCTACATAAGGAAAACTATTAACTGACATGTGCAAAGCAATCCAGTATGGACTACTTCAAAGATGAAAAGTTCATTTTTAAACCATTCCAAGAACTTACCTAAACGTGCAACTGACAACATCAAATTACATAGTGAAGAATTACTTATGTGGACAAAGGATGTTAAAGGAAATTCACATCCATCAAAAAGTAAACAAAAATGCCTATTGTGGTTTTACTGCTAAGTAAATGAGCAGCAGTCCAAACAAGTACTACTCTAGATAAATACCAACAACTAACTATTCCATAGAAAGTATAAGAGGAATACCAGGGGAGTCAAAAATATTTTGAGAAATTAAAGCAATATATGTATACACATATAATGACTAGGTTACCGAAACAAAAAATATTTCTCCTACTTTTTTAGTGATCTCAGCAACTGGAAATAAGAATATCAAGAAGAAAAGCTTAATATATAGAAGACTAAAAAGAACTTACTTTAGAGAAAAAGGATCCACATAGTTCAGGAGCACGATACCAACGGGTTGTGACATAGTCCTAGATGGATTAAATAAGTTAGATTAGTTAGCACAACCTTTTGGAGGCTTGCCCAATGTAATGAGGGAAGCGTTTAAAAGAAAATTAAGCCATTTGAGAAATACTAAGGAAGCATGAAAGCGAAAGCTTCAAGATTTAATAAAAGAACAACATACAATCCAAAAAATCGCTGATGGGGCATCATTAAATGAAACTCAGGCAAACCCAAAATCACATATCTTCAACTTACAGTCAGCATTAGCAAGGATGTTCTTTGGTTTTAAATCTCGATGGAATATATTTGCTACAGTAAGAGGAAGGGAAAAACTCAGCAAATACCACTAAGAGGTGAGGTTAGGGAAGCATTCTGAAAAGCACTGACCTTTTCACCCGTGTGGTTGTCAATCGTAGAAGCAACAACCCCATAACTTCTTTTCCCAAAGATCTCGTGAATTTGATATCGGCTTCCCTCTCCATAATTAGTGAAAAAATATATTTCAAGTCCGCCCTGGATAGCACCATTGTTTAGAAACACCAAAAGTCCTATTCAGAAACAAGGAACAAGAGAAAAAGGGGGAAGCATGCGTTATGGTGAATGGCCAAACCAGTGGACTGCTGTAAAGAGAAATAGGAAAAAGAGGGAAGCATACGGCGTGAACTGATTATCGAGGGGGAAGAAGCGGGAAAAGATGAAAATAATGATGGAGAAAAATTAAAAGACGACTTTTACAGATGACACACAATAAAAAGTGTACTTCGTGTTTTTGCAAATTTTTTGAATTATGGCTATTAAATATGACACACATTATTGTAAGTCATAAATCGTTCAAATTTTAAAAAACATGACATTTTTTATGACACACATTTTTTGCAAGTCATAAATTAGCGTGTGTCATCGTTCGTATGTCATTAAAGGTATATTTTCTTGTAGCAGTGAACTAAAATTCCAGCATTATAAATATCAAAATCAACATTAAATCCTTCAAGTATTTCAATCTTACTATAATATCCCATAATTCCAAAAACTTGTAAACTAACTCTTTTTCACGTTTAAAGTCCAAATTGATCCAAATCAATCTTCAAACAACATAGAATACTTCTAATATCATTTCTAATCCATAGGAAATTTTTCAACATTTTCCCCAAATTTTCTTTCCTATAGCCGAATACATTAAAGTCACATATGGGGACTTTTTGTTCAATTTCAAGCATGAATTCAACCTCCTATGATTAAATTCATGCATTTTCAATCATTACAACATCAATTTGAATCAAAATCTCATTCTTCTCACAAACCCTAACATGGAAAAATCTTATTTACACATGTAGAATTTGTTCTAACTATTGTACATGCTTTAAAAATAATCACTAACATAAAAAACATAAAAATCCTACAACAACTCTTTAAAATCACTAAACTCTCCATAACCCTAATCATCAAATCTCATTACATAATCATCTTCACCATGAAATTTTGGTAACAAATGATAGAGAATTTCATGTAGATTAATTCTCAATCTAATTGCTAAACTAAAAAATCAATTAAATAGCTTCAAAAGTCAAACTAAAAATTTTACCTTGCAGACAAGGTTTCGGCCCTTGAAGAGGAATAAGCTGAAAATGCTCAAGTTTCTTGAATATTCTAATGTTAATTAGCCTTAAAACATGGCTAAATACCATTAAAATTGAATTTTTTATTCAATTATTAGGAAATTTCATTTTTGTCATTAATGAAACTTAAAAATTACCAATTGCCATTGTCATATCCTCTATTAAAATATTCCTTTGTCAAAGATGAATTAACTTAGCTTTGACTTTTTACTATGGCCATGTAATTTTTGAAAATTGCATTTTAGTTACTAAAATTCCACTGTATCGGTCAAATGTGAACAATTGCACTATTTTGAGCCAAATTTATCTTATCTAAAATATAAAAATAATATTTCCAACCATTTTCTAACATCTTTCAAATTTTTTTAAAATTCTGGTTCGATCTGAATATCTTATTTCAATACCGAACTTTACTGTTTTATAGCTTCTAACATAAATTATGTACCGAAAATATGATTCCCACTAAAATATTTGTTTTAATCTAAACTTTTTATTTACAGGCTAAAATATATAACTTTTAAAAATTACAATTTTGGTCCCTAAACTTTTCAAAGTTTATACTTTAGCCACTAAACTTTCTAAACTTACATTTTAGTCACTAGACAAAATTTTGGGGTATTACACTCCATCTGTATATCGATAAAAATATATTTGTTGCTTATTTTTAATTACAATAAATAAATTCTATTTAAGATTTCAAATTAAAATAGAGGAAAAAATATTACTTTCCAGCAAGAGGAAAATCAATCGTTGTTCGACTAATCGATGTTAAAAATAGAAGTCTGTGTCAAGCCCTTGATCTTAGCAAAACATCCACTTATTTTTTTGTATTAATATTATTGATGGTTAGTGACGTCTTGCACATCTCACGGTACAAGAATGTCAATATCGTAAATCCCCAATTATATTGTCGATTATTCTTAAAATTTCTCAAAAATGGGAGATACAGCGTGCGAACCAAATTACCGGATTTATCAGGTACCAAAAATCCCCCAATCAACTGCAAGATATATGCTCAAGTTGCATATACAATTTCTTGTTGGGTACTATTCTGTCAGAGCTTAAATTGATTCTCCAACTACGACAGCCTTAAACGCCACCCTTTTAAATATAGGCTTATTGTTGTCTGCCCAAGAAACTCATTATAAAGTATTTCCACATTATTGTAATCATTTCTCATCACCATCGACATCTCATTTGTTGGAACCCCGAGTTACAAGACCACATCTTCTAGAGTTATCGTGCATTCTCCACAAGTAAAATAAAATGTATGTGTTTTTGGCTTCCAACGTTCAATCAACGCACTTATCAAACTCGGGACCAACTTATACTCTCAAACAAATATGACATAATAAAATCCAGCCTCTTGTAGGTTATCTTCAATCAAAGGGTGTGGCTTAGCGGGAATATTGAGTCGATGACAGAGGACTCTCTGCCCGTCTTCATACAATTACAATATTCATGAAATTAATCAATTAATCATAAAATAAACTTCTACCATTTAATAATAATAATTCATTCTCAAACAATAATATTTTATTGAATAATAATAACATCATCGATCCCAAATTGCTAAAAATGTGTTGAGCGTCAATATGAAGCAATTGATTTTGTTATGTCATTTGAACGAATCTGTAGAATTTTTTTAATAACATTAATAATTTAATATAAACAAAAATAATTTAATCTAAACTAACAGATTAAAACAACAACAACAAAAATATTAAAATGTACCTTATTATTTCTTTCTTCTTCTTCCTTTATTTCTTCTCATTTTCTTCTTTTTTATTCCTTATGATAACCCTCCCTCCCATACACCCCATATATACTAAAAACCCAACCAACCCCATAATGGCTCCAACAAACCATACCATTATTGCTACAATTATTGTAGCCATTATTGATGCCCCCATGCAGTAGGTAGTGTCACGAGTGGTTTATTCACGGGGGTAAGGCTTGCATGCAACATGTGAGGGACGCATGGATTTCCATGCGACTTTGGATGAAAAACACATGGAATACCATGCGACTTACCAGGGGAGAAATGCATGGAACACCATGCGACTTTGGGTGATTTTGGCTCGGTCGTCAGAGTATAATGTGACTGTCAACTCCACTATAGCATTCACCCCATTCGAACAAATAATATGTGATTGACGTTACTCGAGAAATTTTTTATTCCCAAAACATTATTCCGAAAAAAATTAGGTTGAAATTAGAGTTTTCAAAATTTTTGGGGGTTTATTAAAAAGTTTTTCAAAGTTTTTGGGTTTTTTTAAAATATAATTTTAATTCTTTTATTTTAAATAAAACTTTCAAAAATATTAACATGACATGTGTCATATAACGAAACTTTTTAACGTACGTTAGGGATAAAACACCTAAAATAATAATGTTTGAAATATCAAACACCTAAATTCACAGAAAAAATTATATACTATTAAAAAAATATATAATTTAAACATTTACTTTTATATTATACCTTTATAATTCTAGGGAAGCATGAACAAAGCATTTAATATGCTAAAAATGAGTGGTCAGACACTATGGATGTGACTACTAATGCATACCACTGTTGAGATGACAACATAAAGAGCCTTATATAATTCCCTCGCACGAAGTAAAAGATATTCCATATTGACAAGGAAAGCCTTTAGCGAATGTACGTAGAAATATTGATTTTTATTGATGAGAAGAAAATTTATTTATTTTATTTTTAAATGATAATATTTTAATTCAAGTTTTTCTATCACATTTTTCTTTTAAATTAATATTTTTAGTTTTATTTTATATTTTTCTTTCAAATAATTTAAGATTATTATAAGATAATATATGTTTAGAATTTTTTCTAATCATAGACAAGTTATATATATTCACAGATATTAACTACTTGAACACATGACCTTTAAAGAGAATAATACTCCCTATAATCAAACCACGTGATAGATTAATTTTCTTTATCCTAAAATGTAAGATTTTATGTTACGTGTAAGAATTTTTTAAAAAATATATTAAAGATTTAGAATATAAATTTTATGAACGTAAAATTAAATTATTAATAAAAAATATAAAAATAATTAAACTATATAAAAATTAAATTTTTTTAAAAGATATTTTTTTCTTTTCAAAACACCCAATCGATCAGTGGGAAAGCAACCAATAAAAGCACCCCAAAGCTAATCTAAGGCAACCAATGAAACAAGGGATTCTTTTCATTACGTCATTCCATCATCCCAATCCAAAACGGGAAAAGCACAAACTTCAATAATATTCATTCTTTCCCCAAAACAGCATGCTTTAGGGTTTGGGTCCCATTTCCCACACCTAAACATTACCCTTTCTTTTCCTTTTTTGTTTGTTAAAATATACAAATCATCTTCGATTATAAGATGTTTTTTATTAAGTCATTA